TAGACAGGGAGGATGAGGGGTAGGCATGGAGTCCCTGTTCTCAGCTCCAGCTCTGTCACTGACCAGCTGCGAGAGGACTGGTCCGCTCCCCTCTCCTGGCCCAGATTTTCCAGCTGCAAAATAAGGGAAGGTGGACTAGATGACCCATTTCTGAGGTCTCTTCCAACTTAAAGAGTCTGGGAGAGAAGGCTGTGTCTCCTGGGGGATGGGGTGTCCAGCCCCGGCCCTGACCCCAGGGCCCCTGCCATGATTCTGTGAGAGCATTCCCTCAAGGAATCAGCATGGCTGCCTGAGGGACCAGTGGTGGCCCAGGACCAGGAGATGGTGCAGAAGGCCTGAGGATATCAGCTGACATCCTTCTGTGTGGACCAGGAGCCCAGAAGGGCCAGGCTGGCTGCTCGGTCAGAGAGCTGATGCTGAGCCGCATCCCTGCTCTGACGACTCCTCTGGGGAGGAGCAGGGTGGGGTTTGAGCACAGGAGCCAGCAGCGGTGGGGAAATGGGCCCAGGTCACTCTGGAGGGACTGAGGCCTCCCCAGCAGACAGAGCAGAAGAACCACAGAGCAGGATGGCAAACTCTGAGGGCTAGGCAGAGGGGGCCGAAGGCAGAGTCAGCCATCGTCCTACTTGCTCAAAGGCTAGACGGGCAGACTTCAGGGTGGCAACCTAGGGCTCTGAGTTAGAATTAAAGGCAGGGCTGTCAGGACATGGTGGAGGACACAGTGACCTCCAGGACCCAGCAAGGGGTCACTGAGAGCAGGGCGCATCAGCCCGACTTCACTTTCTCTTTGGCAGGGTTATGGTTGTGTGGACTGGGGATGGGGTTGATACAGCGCTTCTGACTTCCAGCGTGCAAAACGGGGCTGGAAGTGGGTTGGAATGCATCATCCAAGCAGGACTGGTTAATGGGCCAACACCAAACAGGGAGAGGCCCCAAGGGTCCATATACCTCAAGTGAGAAGCACAGGGCCGACTCCCCCGGCTCCCCACCCACACACACATACAGAAGAGAGATGTGGCTAGCTGCCATATGTGTGTGATAGTCAGGGGATTCGGTTACAGAAGAGCAGGCTGAGTTTCCAAGGTTATGTGGCCTAAACCATTCATTGGATCTCGGGCCACATTAACAGAGGCAGGGCACCTAAAGCAGGGGAGGTGATGGGCCCGCTCACTTTAGCTAGCTGATGTTAGTGGGAAATTTGGGTTATATCTGCTCCATAACTTTAGAGGGAAGGCTGGAGCCCAGCTGAGGCTACGGCAGCTTTAAGAAGAAGAGCTGGAGAAACTGGAAAAGCCTGGCTTTGAGAAGTGAGGACTCAGGGCTGGAAAAGGCTGAAGGGAAGTCAGCAGAAAAGGGCAGCTGACTCGGGGCCTGACGAAGTAGTGGGGCTCCTTGCTGCAGGAGGTATACAAGGAGAGGCAGAGGCGGCTTGGGCAGGAGCCAAGATGGAGTGTCAAATGGGCGACTAGTGAGGTTCTTTCCCACCTGGAGTTTATGCCATTTTGCCCAACTCTGCCTGGCTCTGGGGTCTCTGTCTCTGCCCTTGGAGCTGGTTGGGTCTGGGGCTGCCCTGCCTACCCAGGCAGCTCCCATCTGGGCCGAGGCTAGGCCACATCTGAGTCCTCCTGCTTCAAGCTCACCATCCTCTCCCCTCCCTCCTTCCTCTCCTGCTGCTGTAAGAAGAGGGGTCCTCCCCATCGCTCTCTTTCCCCTTTCTGACAGGGCGGGGCTGCCCCACAAGAGGCCTGTCTCTTTCAGTGTCTCTACATCGCTGTGTACGTATCTGCATAAGTGTGCCTTTAAGTGTGTGTGCATCTGCATGTGTGTCTCTATCCCCTCGGGTCTGCTCTACTCCCCAGTGACTCCCCCTCAGGGCACAGCTGCGGTGGGCCTGGCACACCTGGCAGGCTCTACCCACTTCCGCTCTGGGCTCCGGCTGGGAGGCGGAGCCTGGGCCGGGGCGGGGCCTGCCTGCAGAGGCGGGGGAGGTGGGCACCAGCGCCCACTTCTCACAGGGAATGGGCACCGCGCTCGTCCTCCTGGGGCCCTGCCTTGGCCTAGGCCTCGGCCATGGAGGTCGCCTGGACACAGAGAGGACGTTTAAAAAAATAGAGAGACTTTAGGCTTCCCAAAAAAAAGATGAGGAGGGAGGAGGCGATGGAGGCCGAGGTGGGGCTGGGAGGCGAGTGGCTGTCCAAGAGCTCTGGGTCCCTGGGGGTGACACGGTCTCTGTGGGCAGGACACAGCCCCCGCCCAGGCTGTGCCCATCTGCCTGTCCCATGGAGCCCAGCGGGCACTTTGGCCAGGCCTGGCTGGCCGAGGGGAGGGCACCGTATGGCTGTCTGTAGAGTCTGTGCGGGCGGCGGGACCGGGGGTGGAGAGGCTGGCCTCCGCGGCCCTCGGTCCTACCCCAGGACCCTTGCCCCAGCGTCCGAACGGCCAGGCTGGCTCTCAGGAGGCGAAGTAGGAACTCTGCATGGAGTAGAGCCGGTCGATGGGGTTCCCCACGCGGGCCTGCAGGGAGCCCACGTCGGAGGAGCCGAGGAAGCAGTCACTGAGGCTGGTTAAGGAGGTATCGCTGTCGATGTCGTGGAAGATGGAGTCGTTCCCTGGGGAGCAGAGGGGGCGTCAGCACTGGGCCGAGGCTCCGGAGGGCCCTGCCGGCCCTACAGGCTGTGCGGCCAGAGGCGAGGGAAGCACAGGATGACCTGCTGGTAGCGCCCGACCAGAGGGCCTGGGCGCCACAGGGAGGGTCTCGAGAGTGCCCGCTTCCGGTCAGGAGGAGGTGCGCGGGCTGTGTTAGCCCGGGGATGGGAGGTGGCTGTCAGGGCCCCAGGCCTGCCAGGCCGGGCAGGGGGCAGGGA